CACCCACCAACAGGAAATAACATTGCAGGAAGCATAATGTCAACATTTTTCATGACTTTGAAGGCTCAATAATTATTTTTGGACAGTGGGATTTGGAATACATTATTATTATGTTTAGTTATTCATATTAAGGCCATTCAAATTTTTATGAAGATACTCTTCGGGGCGTATCTAGGAATTTGGAAAGGGGGGTGCTGGGGTATAGAAATGTACAGGAGTGGCAATGAGGGGCACGCAAAGCGGGTTACGATTTGACCATGCCCATTTTTCAGCGGTAAAACGGCATTTTTCTTCATTTTCGTCAGTTACTGGTGGGGTCAGGATAATTTCAAGTACACTGGTACTTCTGATCACTTGTTAAAGCACTGGAAACAGCTGAAATCATAATCAGGTGGCTAGATAACTTTAATAAGAGGCTTGGTAGTGATGCAAGAGTCCAGAACTTCAGTAATTTTTTTCTGAGCCCAGCCATAAGGGGGGTGCTCAAGCACCCTCAGCACCCCCCCTGGATACGCCCCTGCCCTTTAATGTAATTACCACACCTACTATACAATCAGCACACTATTTTGCGGATATTAAATTTGCAAACTTTTCTAAAACGCAAAAAATTGCAAAATTTAATCCCCCAAAATGTATGGCGTATACATGTACAGTATGCTATTTTGTACATGTGCATAGGTTTCCAAATTCTAAGGGATTTATTACAACAAAAAGTGTATAAAAATAAACAATTACTAGATGGATATGAAAAGAGTCCACATAATGCAGTTGATACAACATGTACATGTACATGAGTACTATTGATTACAGAGTCTTTACAATAATTTTCTGCATTTAAGCTCAAGCAAATACTATATGAATAGCTTACATTAAAATAAATTTTGCAAAAAAAACACAAAAATTAAGCAAGTCAACATGCATGTGCACATACTGGTAATAATATTCATTATTTAAGCTCCATCAACACATCAATCAACTTACCAACCATGATTTATCCTTCCCAGTAATATCATCTATAGTAACTGAATATATCCAGTATAACTCCTGTCTTCATAGCACTCAGTCCTGTCTTTATCTCTTTCACTTTATCTTCACTCAATAACTGATCATCAATTCTTAATACTGGAGGAACATCACTTGTGGAGAGCTTCCTCTCAGCCTATTGATCAATATAATTATTGTTAGTATTATAATTATTGTACTGGGCACAATTTGAATTGGCCAAACAGATTACGCAATTAGAGATTTAAAGTTAATTAATGAGTTTGTTACTGTTTGCATATTTTATCAATAATTATAAAGAACTATTAGAATATAAAAAACAATAATCATTTTAATAAACAACAACTCGGTCATTTCTAAAATCACAAATATACAAGAATCCATCTTTATCTAATGCTAATCCATATGGACTTTTGAACTGATCAATATTACTGCCCCACCTTCCGAACTCACTTACAAACACACCATCACAAGTAAACACTGATATACGATCATTGCCATATTCACTAACATACACTAGACCAGTAGCTGCAGTGTCTATTGTTATATCATATGGACTGTTAAGCTGTCCAGGACCAGATCCTTCAGTACTAAACCAATTGAAAAACTTTCCATCTGGAGAGAACTTCTGAATGCGATGATTACCAAAATCAGTAACATACACTAATCCTTGACTATCAATAGCAATTTCATGTGGATACTGAAACTGTCCATTAGCTGATCCTTTACTACCAAATGAATGAGAGAAGGTTAGATCAGAATTCAAGACTTGTATACAATGATTACCACTATCAGCAATATAAACCTGTCCTGTTATAGGAGAAATAGCTATACCATCAGGACCATTAAATTGTAGTGGTCCACTGCCCTCTTTACCAAAGGATGCTTTACGGTATCCATCCATGCTTATCTTCTGGATCCTGTGATCATCATCAGATACAAGAATGAATTTGTCTGGAGTAATGGCTATACCACGGGGATAAGAAAACTTGACATTACCACTTCCTCCTTTCCCTCCTAATGATTTCACTTTCTTTCCTTCTCTATCCAGTATTGTTACACAGTTACCACTGCACTCAGTTATTATGATATGATTATCATCACTTACAGCAACTCCATAAGGGCCCTTAAACCCAGTTATAGTACGTACTGGAGTGATGTTATCAAGGTAAGGATTGAAAGGGATGAATAGTGAGGTATCCTCAAGGTGTACATCATATACTTGTACTTTTACTGTATGAGTACCATGTGTTGAAGGGCTACACTGTATCTTATAAACTCCAGGATCAGTGCTGGTGGTAGTGACTGTAGTGTGAATGGGTTGATCACCTTTACCAACTGGTACTAGACTACACCTCAGAGAAGAGAGGGGAGCAATCAAAAGAGATGAATCTGGTGCCTCCATTGATAGTGAAAACGAAGCTTCTTTGCTAATAATACGATCAATCTTCTTCACTCTACACTGCTGTAGTGCAGTAGTCCCTGAAAGAATATCTCCAATGTGGTATAGCGATTTGATATCTTTACTCAATGCGAAGTCAGCCTTTTCCTTTGGATGTAACTCCTCCACATTGATCCCTCCAGTAACTTCATTCATATGCTCCATCATCTTATTCTTAGACCTCAGGATTTGTTGAGGACTACCTGTCTTCAGACT